GTTCTTATACCGACAGGTACACCCTCGCCCCGCCGCACCAGCGCCCGCGATAACGCCCCTTGCAATGTCAACACGGGGCTTTGGCAGTGGCGATGAATCACGGGCCACGTCCCAGGCAGAGCGGGTGCTCCGGGTTCACGTTTGTTTTTGTGGGCGAGGGGATGGTGCACGGGGACGTGCCGGGTGCTGGGCAGGGGGGGTGTTGGCAGCTTCTGGGGGCGGTGAAGGTCCCGCAGCAGGAGCAGAACGGGGTCTCCATCCTGATGCCAGCCCCTGATCCACTGGAAATCGCATGGCCCTGCTCGTGGGGAGCGTGTCCCCTTTCCTGTGCCCCGCAGTCCCCTCGGGGACCTGCCCGTGGCCATGGGGTACCCCACACCCCGACGGCTGCTGGAGGGATGCAGGAGAGGGATGAGTTTGTAGCATCAGGCAGCAGCCAAACAAACTTTAAAAGGCACAGACTAATTAGCAGTGATGAACTGCTGAGGAATCTGCAACTTTCCCTTTTAAACGGCAGTCAGTGCCATCAAAGCTCATCGGGAAGAGCTGGCATTGCATGGGACAGCTCGGTGTTGCCTTACAGCCGCTAATGGGCTCTTCCCCAGTGGCTGATCTTTGTTTAACACAGGATGGCCATCTCATTAAGCCTCTGTGCATGCAAATAAGAGATGCTAATGAACAAAGAAAGCCTTCATATACGGAGTGGGGGGAGGCGAGGCTGTCCTTGCTGCCACCATCCCTCAGACACGGATGCTGTGCCGGCCTTGGGGTTGTTTTCCATGTTTATGGCGCTGATGGGTGCCGCAAAGGGAGGTGTTTTACCCGGTAAGTAACGTTCGTGTAATTAACGGGGTTTCTACCCTTCACACTGTTCTTATCAAATTCCCATTTATCTCGGTTAGGCCATTTTATCTAATTAAAGTCCTCGCCCTGAGAAATTAAAGTCCTCGCCTGCGAGGTACCGGTACCGGCGGGGCGGTGAGCCCGGCTGGCGGGGGACGCCCGAGAAGG